CCTTCAACTCATCTTTCCTTCACCTGATTCCTGAAGCCAGAGTTATACTCATGCATTAGGTTGTCATACTGGGCTGTTCACACTTGGAGCAGGGGCATGGAAGCTGTAGACATACTTGATGCTGCCATAAGTGCTGCATTCCCCCAGAAAATAGCAGGGCAACAATGTAAATACAGCCTGTCTTTAAAGCCAATAAGTTTAAAAAACACTGCTGTACTAATAAAGGCTGTTGGTTTTAGATACTGAGTTGTTGTTTTAAACTTATAAAATAAAATTTATGCAAGAAAATATATCTGCAAGAGATAGAAACAGAAGTCAAAATCCTTTCATTTGTATTCATAAACTTGGCTAACAAACTCATACCTGAAAATATACCAGTTACTTGCATATGCTGTTTTAATCCCAGAATAAGCTGTAGGTACATAACATTTAACAAAATGATGCCACTTGAAACTTATGGGACATTTGTTTTTATTTTCTTTTTCACAGAATTGTTTAGTGAGGGCTCCTTTGAATTCCCTCCTCAACCCATTTTGAATGCGGCTTGCGTGCGTGGTCCTGACTAAGTTACAGAAATCTGAAGGTATATCTGCAGCGGCAGCTCATGGGGCTTATGCTCGGGGGTGGGGAAAGCATCATCGCGTAACTTTCATTGCGCGTACCCTCACACCCTGCTCAATGCATAAAGTGTAAATCTAGCCTGATGCCTTTTCATAACACAGTAGTGAGGCATCACTAAACTGATCACCCAAAGTCGGTCCTCGAGGGCCGCTGTCCTGCAGGATTTAGAGGTTTCTCTGCTTTAGCACAGCTGATTCTGATGATTGTAGATCAGCAAAAGCCTGTTTATCAACTATCAATGTAAATCAGCTGTGCTGGAGCAGAGAAACCTCTAAAACCTGCAGGACAGCTGAGGACCGACTTTAGGGATGCCTTAGGGCAGGGGTGGGCAATTCCAGTTCCTGGGGGCCGGTATCCTGCAACTTTTTGATCCATCTTTGGTCCAAGACACCGGAATCAAATGGTTGAGTTACCTCCTCAGTAGGCAGTCAGTTCTTCCAGGGTCCTCTCAATCATCTAATGACTTGATTCAGGTGTGTTGGACCAAAGGCACATCTAAAAGTGGCAGGATACTGGCCCTCAGGAACTGAAATCGCCCACCCCTGCCTTAGGGGGTACATTTTTTGTATTGCTTATGCATTTTTTATTAAAATATGTTGTTTATGATCACCAGCCCGATGTCCTTTAGCATTCTTATTAACATAAAGGTCAGAACCCTCAACTCCAGGCTGCATCTTTACCCGACCCAGACTACACTAATAACAGCACTGCTTACAACAACATTAATGTGATAAAGCCATACCCCAGAAACATGTGCAGCCTTTCTAAAAATATCATCTAAATGTCTAAAAGTACCTGCTGTTGCTCCTTCAATGCTTTAAGACAGGTAGGTCCAGTGGTCCCAGTTCGGCAGCTGCAGGAAGGTCTATTGTACAATAAAGAAATAATGCTTATCTGCTTACTGTGAATCTTATGTTCTACCAATCAGGGACAGAGACAGTTTGGCTTGCAGCAAATGTTACGACATAATCACTGGGCGTCCAGAAAGCAAAACAGCTGCCTTCTTTCAGCAGCAATGGAACTAATAAGGTCAAAGTAGAAATAAGAAAGAAATGGAAGTAAATAAAAACAGTTGAAATAAATACTGAAAACAGGATGTTAATGAAAAAATATTTTAGCAATACAGGAAGCAAATATTTGATATAAATATATAATATATAAAGGTGAAAGAAAATTAACAGTGAGCAGTGTGGTGTTGGTGAGAAACTTTGCATTAAAGTAAAGCAGATTAGATGGAGCATGGTCCAAATGAAGGAAGGCCAGATCAATCCTGAAACACACCTGTCCCCATGTTGGTCTGTTATACTAATATATATTAAATAAAACAGCTGCCTGGACTACGGGCAAGTTGAAAAAAAAAAGTTAACTGATTTTTACATTTTATTTCAGTTTAGTATGGGAAAGAAGTCAGAATTCTGACTTTTTTCTCAGAATTCTGACTTTAATCTCAGAATTCTGACGTTTTTTCAGAATTCTGACTTTAATCTCAGAATTCTGACATTTTTTCAGAATTCTGACTTTATTGTCAGAATTCAGTCAGGATTCTGAGATTAAAGTCAAAAGGTTATAAAAAATCCTCTGTTGTGCATTGCTTCCATCTATATCTAAACAATATTTTACAAGTTGTTTCAACATAACAAGAACAAACCTTTGCCCTTCTTTTCTTTTTATTAGCCTTCATTTAAAAGAAAAGAAACACATTTAGGTTAACCATTAAAGCTTTTTATCAGCAGATATGATAAAGGAACAGTTAAACAATAGCCAGTACATTTTTTTTCTCCAGCTGCATTCTTCATCAGATTTGAATTATTTGAATAAATTATTATATTTGCGTGCATTTAGGGACATCATGCAATAAGAAACCAGATTGTAGGGCATCGGTGTTACCTTCTTTACTAACTAACCCATTTATCAGGCTTAATTGACTTAATTGCATGTTTAAACAAATAGCTACTTAACCAAACAAAGGGGCATTCAATTAAATGGAATATTTAAAATGTAATAAGACATTGTTCCACGTTTACAATTAAGTTTGCAAGAAAAAATAATCTATGCTATATTTAACATATCTGTTTGTAATCAGCAAGGACTCAGAGACAGATGCAGAGTCAGACTCACAGGTGAGATGCACTTAAAATTGAAATAGAATAAACCTACAAGAATTAAATCACAAATAACAGAGTAAAAATGGGGGGGTTACCATTTGGCAATACTACGCAGTTGCCCATAAAACTCTATTTACATGTATGGTTAATGCAACAATTGCTTATTTTTGCACATTAATTATGTTTTTGATAAAATTACTTTCAATAAATTGCCATAAGAATATATATATAACATATATAGAAATATTATATATAATATTAAGTGTGTCTCACCCCCCTCTATCTGTATAATGGGTCTGTTTTATGTGTTGTCTTCTCAGTTTAGAAGGCCCGCTGCCTGTCTTTGCCTAGGGCCCCAAATTTCCTAAATCCGCCCCTGTGGAGCTTAAAGGGGAAACGATCGATCGATCGATCCATCGATCCATCCATCCATCCATCCATCCATCCATCCATCCATCCATCCATCCATCCATCCATCCATCCATCCAT